CAGTGCTTTGCTTATCCTGTGTTTCTTTGTTTTGTTGTTTTTAACGTGCAAGCTTTGTTAGATGTACACAGAGTTTGTTTTGAGCTATTGCTCAGCACTTCCTCTCAAGGCCTGCCTCACTCAGAAATTCCCTGCAGGAGTCTTCGGGCATATAGCTGTAATGTTCAAGTTCTGCTTTCTTCAAGTCCTTTTCTCATTTTGGTTAGTGCTTGCAGTGGTTGAGAATTAAAAAAAATAAATCCCGAATATCATTTGAATTAATGCTGAGTTCTTTTCTTTTTCTCTGCTTGTTGATACTGTATCTCTTGAAATTGGGAAGGGATCCAGCTTGTTAGGACTCAACTGATTGAGCTCTGTGCCTCACAGAGCTCCTTTTTTTAAAAAAAAGTTTTTATTGTGAATTATATGATAGCTTACATGGGAGAACACTAGCTTTACATTGATCCTGTGGTATTTCATTTTATTGCAATGATTACAGTCCCCTCCATGCATCATCAAACAACCAAAGGGTACACCCTGCAAGCCTGTCTCCTAGCCATCAGCTCACAGACCCTCTCCCTCCCTGAGTCCAGAGTCTCCAGCTGCTCCATCTCTCCACGTCATCGTCTCTGCCTCCATCTCTGGCGTCATTGCTTCTCTGGATAGGGTCCCACACTCAGCTCTTCTCCCTGGATGATCCCAGGGACCTCTACTCTAGACTGCAAAAGCAACCATTCCCCTCCTTTTGTTAAAAAAACTTTTACATTTCCAACACTCACAGTCAGCCCTGATTACAATTATTCACTATTGAACCACAAGAGTCTTGTCCCCATCTCCTTTCATCAGCCTCGTCCAGACAGATTGGAAACCACTAAGTGGAGATTGTACTTTCCCCCATGCCCTCTGGAACTAGGCTCCCTCTTGAACGCTTATAAGCCAGTCACTTCTTGCCTCTGTAGCCCCCCCGCTCCCCATTTTGGGTAGCCAATATCTAAGTTGCCCATCTCTGTCAACCCTGTGTACCGAGGGGGTGGGAATCATTTGTTCCCTCTTTTGAGCTACTACATCCATAGGTATAGGTCAAGTTCATCAAAATGTAGTGGATTACTCTTTTTTTCCTCTTCTTTCTTCTTCTAGTCGAGTTCTGATCATCCAGCCATTGAAGCCAGGTCAAGTGGGTACTATCTGCAAGTATGGTGTTCTTGTGCATCTCCCCTCACTTCATGTCAGCTGGACGCTTCATTCTCTGCTCTAGTTCTCTGTGGCCCTGTCACTGTCTCTGGGCTTAGGAGTCCCCAGGTCTTGCCATACTGCTGGCCAACCAGGTCTCAACATGGGATGACAGGAGTCTATTGAATGTGGTCGGACTTAGCTCACAACTTCATTGCTGTTTTTCCCCCACTTCCCCTTATTGGTGACCAACATGGTCACCAGCAAGACCACATGTCTGCTTGTTTCTTGGATAGGGGTTTGCCCTGAGGGGACCTGACCACTTGCCATTATGGCTCCCGGAAGAACAACTTGCTTGTTCTTGTAGTAGTCAATCAGATTGCTGTTACTGTTTTTGATTTTTCCTGCTAATCTTTCTTTCAAGAAGTAGCTTCTGTTCTTTTAGCAGCTCCGTGCTGATCTGCTTGTCCTTTGAAGTGGAAGTTTCCCACCTCAGAAGATTCTGGATGGGAATCAGGTTTCATCCTATGGTCTTATGCAATGCAAAGGCTCCATTTTAGGTATTCCAATCAGTTATAGACTGAAAACAGACTTATAAGCCACAGAGCTCCCTTTAAATGTTAGGTTTCATTGTTGGTTTTTTCCCCCCAGGTATGGTGGTTCCTTCCAAGACCAAAATTGTGTGCCACTTTTCTACGCTTGTGTTGACCTGTGGGCAGCCACATACTCTTCAGATTGTACCCCGAGATGAGTATGACAACCCTACCAACAACTCCATGTCCTTGCGAGATGAGCACAATTATTGTTTGTCCATTCATGAGGTAAGTAGCCACCCTTCCTTCTCTGTGTGCTAGTGATAGTAGGGTTCCTTCCTCTCTCATTCTTGCCCTGTTTAATTCATTCTCTCTTGTCCCCTCTGCTTTGGTGTCTTCATCTGACAACACCTGTCTCATCAGTAGTTGCAAGAGTTCTTTGTACCGAGGAAATTGCCTTGCCAATCAGAATGTTAGATATGTTAAGTGATGCTCTGTTTCCCTCCTTAGCTTGGTCCTCAAGAAGAAGAAAATACTGGTGTCACATTTGAGAAATCAGTGACATCCAACAGGCAGACTTGCCAAGTGTTCTTGCGACTCACTCTGCATTCTCGTGGCTGCTTCCATGCCTGTATCTCCTATCAAAATCAACCAATCAATAATGGCGAATTTGACATTATTGTCCTGAGTGGTGAGTTAGAAGGAAAGCTGTGATTTGGTCTTATTGTTAGGAAATTTGTTCTTTGCATATCCACTTTTCTGACTAACTTACAGACATTTGGTATTTGAGAGAAGCTTGGTTTCTCATCATGTAGACTAAGGGCTAGTGAGAGGTAATATTTTTTCTCCCTTGACTCCTTATCCCTTGATACCCTCCAGAGAATGAAAAGAATATTGTTGAGCGCAATGTGTCCACCTCAGGGGTGAGCATTTACTTTGAGGCTTATCTTTATAATGCCACCAACTGTACCAGCACACCATGGCACCTTCCACCCATGCATATGAGCTCTTCCCAGCGCCGGCCTTCCACTGCTGTTGAGGAGGAAGATGAAGATTCACCCTCAGAGTGCTACACCCCCGAGAAGGTGAAGAAGCCGAAGAAGGTGTACTGCTACGTGTCACCAAAGGTTGGAGTGCCCATTTTTGCCTCAAAATCCCCTGTGTTTGCTTGCATATACTTGGCGTTTGCAACAGAAATCAGGGCAATGTCAGTGACTTTTAGGGTTTCTAGGATACCAAGAGCAGCTGTTAAAGTTTAGCAGAAGATTGTACCTCCTTTTCTGCTGCAAGTGTCTGGTTTGGACTAAATTAAATTCTGTCTGGAGAATCTGTTGGAGCACCTGGGACATTGCACCCTTTGATTAATTCTGGGAAGAGTTTTCAAGGCGTGGCTCCTAGAGTTTTAAAGACAGCTATTTTTAACGGTTCAGAATTACACAGTGTAATAATGACTGTTGGCCCTTGTGCTATACAAAACAATTTGATCTTTCATTCTGTGATGTGTGCATTTACAATAAAAGAATGGTACTATCAGGCAAGAGGATTGGAATAGGAAAATTTTGGCAGAAACAGGAAGGTGAATTTCCCAAGCCCTGATCTAAGAGGCACTTTGTTTTAAGGATGTTCTTTTTAATATTTTTATTTTGCTCATTCATTCAGCCCTCATAAAAATGAGACTCTGTTAAAACATCTCAGTACATGCCTTTAAACCTATAACCCAAATTATGTTCTTATTCTGTTGGACTTCAGAACACTTTGCTTCATACTATCCATTATTTTAAAATCTGGCCTTAATTTGGGTTCAGGGTGTGTGGTGACTGGTGGTGATATAGACAAAACAAGATTGATCATGAATCGATCATTTTTGAAGTTTGTGATAATACTTGTTGAAGCTACAGTTTTCTTTTGTTTGGAATGTGTTTTGAAATTTTCTTTAATAAAAAGTTAATTTTTAAAAAAAGAATAAGAAAAAAATCTGGCCTACTGCATGTTCAGATAATTATTTTTTTTTTCCAAAATTAAAAAAATGACTGCATTGGCAAATGTTATAGAGAGACCCCACTTTATGTTTCTGTAAGGAAGTTTTATGAACTCTTTTGGGAGGTGAGTACCCCCCACCTCCTTAACACACACATTGTGTGTGTTAATAGTCTGTCTGGAGAGTCTGTTGGAGCACCTGGGACACGTGTGCACCCTTTGATTATTTCTGGGAAGAGTTTTTTTCTGGGAAGAATGTTGGTAACATTCAAATATGGGTAAAGCAGTGGGCTTGGTAGGCCTCAGGCGTTTCCTGTCTTATGATTTGGAGGAAGTCGCTCTGAGCAGCACTGGGATGAGCAGAGGCAGATTTGATTGTTTTCAGGTGAAATATTCTCTACTCAAAGTAAACACGTGATCTTAGCTATTTGGAAATTTTAATAAGACTTCAGTACTAAGTTTATGAAATGCCTGTCTGAAATTGCGTTTAGTATGTTTTTGCTTGTTTTAAGATAGAGCTGATGTATTTATTTGATTTGTACTGATTAAATTATCCTCTTGTCCCTGGGGGAACATGATTAACATGAGAAACGTAGATAAAGAACCCTGATGTTTTAGTTGCAGTACACTAACAGAGCCTTTTCATTTTCTGTATATTGGCCCTCCAGCAATTTTCAGTGAAGGAGTTCTACCTGAAAATCATTCCTTGGCGCCTTTATACCTTCCGAGTATGTCCAGGAACAAAAGTAAGTTGAACCCTGCATCTGATTCATGCTGAACAAGCATGGAGTGTCTAGCCTTTTCTTTCACTTCAGGGCTTTTGGGTGTTTTCATTGTACACACAAGATTTGCTTATAAATAAAGAAGAGCTCTTATCTGATTGCTAACTGGCATGAAGAATGTATACATTTTCAAAAGATACAGAAACAAGAATTAGTAGCAACTCAGAATACTTCAACAGTTACCTTTTGCCCCTAAAACAATATGTTGTTGAGTTAGTTCCAACTCACAGTAACCCTCTGCACAACAGAACAAAACCCTGCCCAGTCCTGCACCAGCCTCACAATCATTCCTGTGTTTGAGTCCATTGTCGCAGCCACTGTGTCAGTTCATCTTGTTAAGGGTTTTCCTCTTTTTTGTTGACCTTTACCAAGCATGATGTCCTTCTCCAAGGACTGATCCCTCCTGATAACATGTCCAAAGTATGTGACATAAAGACTTTTGCTGTTCTTTTTCTAAGCAGTGTTCTGGCTGTACTTCTTCCTTTGTGTGTTGTCCTCATAGCCCGTGGTACATTCAGCATTTACTAACAGCATAATTCTAAGGCATCACTTCTTCTTAAGTCTTAGTTATTGTCCATTTTTTGCATACATGTACAGAAATGAAAATATCATGGTAGGTGCATCTTACTCCTTAAAGTGACATACATCTTTACTTTTTAATAACTTTAAAGAGGTCTTTTGCAACAGTTTTGCCCAATGCAGTACTTCATTTGATTTCTTGACTGCTGCTTCCATGAGTGTTGTTATAGATTCAAGTAAAATGAAATCCTTGACAACTTTAATCTTTTCTCCCTTTAACTTGATGCTGCTTATTGGACAAGTTGTGAGGATTTTTGTTGTCTTTATGTTGAGGTGTTATCCATATTGAAGGCTGTAGTCTTTGCTCTTCATCAGTAAGTGCTTCAGATCCTCTTTGCTTTCAATAAGCAAGGCTGTTGTGTCCTCTGCATATCGAAGGTTGTTAATAGGCCTTTTTCCTGATGTAGCATTCCTCATATAGTCCAACTTCTCGGATTATTTGTTCAGCATACAGATTGAATAAATATGATGAGAGAATACAACCCAAACTATATACATGCTATTGGAGAGAGTGTGGTAACTCTGGCCTGAGCTTGATCTCCCAATGTGCTGAAGCTTACCCATAGAATCAGCAATCTCACATATTTAAGAAAAGCTTTTTTTTTTTTTAACTTTTTATTGTGAATTGAGTGAAAGTTTATAGGACAGATCATCAGTTTTACATTCAACAAATCATATACTTTGCTTCATTACGGGGTTGCAATCCCCTCCATGTACCAACAGTTAACAGCATTTACCTTCATTCACTGTATTAGATTCCTCCCTGGGCCTCCTGCTACCTTCATCTTTCCTCTGCTAACCTCCCTCTTGTATATTGCTTGCCTTCTCATCATGTTAACATGTGTCTATCCTCTAGCCCAATGAATAATTTTCCCTATCCCCAACTGCTAATCATTATAGGTTATTTCTTTTATCAAGAAAACAATTTTTAAACTTTTTACAGCATTGGTCTCATATAATGTTTGTCCTTTTGTGATTGACTAATTACACTCAGCATAATATCCCCCAGGTTTAACCGTGTTGTGAGGTGTTACACAGATTCATCAATATTATTCAGTATTTTATAGTGATCCATTGTATGTCTGTACCAAAGTTTGTAGGTACATTTAATTCATGTACATTCAGTGTAGTTATCAATACTTATGAGTTGATTGCTGTCATTTTCCTGGGTGTGGTGCTGCTGGATTCTTTGTTCCACATAATTATCTGTGCTGAGTTCATGTTTTTGGTGGTTTTTCTTTTCATTTTCATATTTTTTGTGTTAATGTTTACTAATCTTTCTGATATTTCCTTTTTTTTTTTTTACTTTGCTGCTTAGGTTTATGGCTTTTCTTTGGGGTTACTGTGTAATTTATCTCTTTTTTTCCCTGCTTAAAACAGTCTGTTTTATCTTGAAATCTACTTGACTTCCTTATCATTTGGGAGTTCTGTGTCTACACTGTTCCCTCTTTTTGCTTTGTAGTTGACTTCATTATACATTGATATCTCTGTTTCCCTATTTTTAGTCTTATAGGTTTGTTTTACTTTCAGTATGTGATGCTGTGGGTTAATGCTCTGGACTGACTGCAAAGTCTGTTTGAACTGCAAGGTTCACCAGCTGCTCCTTGGAAATCCTATACCTGGTTTCTATGGGTTGGAACCGACTTAACGGCACTTAACAACAACAACAACAAATATCTGGATTGAGTTCTGGGTGATGGTTGTTGATTCTCAGTCCAAAGAACACCCTATAGCATTTTTTGCAAAGTTGGTCTGACCATTACAATCCTTTAATTTCTGATTATCAGGAAATATCCTAATTTCGCCGTTGTATTTGAGGGACAATTTTCCTGGGTATATAATTCTTGGTTAACAACTTTTTTCTTTCGAAGTTTTGTATATGTCATTCCATTGCCTTTTTCCTTCATGATTTCTCCTGAGGAATTAGAGCTTAGACTTACTGGTTCGCCTTTGTAGGTAATTTTTCACTTTCTGAGCTGCTCTTAGGATTCTTTCCTTATCTTTGATTTTGGAATGCTTAATTATGATATATCTTGGTGATTTTCTTTGGGGATCTATCCTGTTTGGGGTTCATTCCGTTTCTTGTATGCTTATCTTCTCATCTTTCATGATGTTAGGGAAGTTTTCTTCCAACATCTCTTTGACAATGTTCTCTGTGCTTGTCTTTTCCTGTTCTGGAATCGTGATCACCTGTAAGTCGTTCCTCTTTGTCGTGTCCCACATAACTCTTGGACTTTGTTCAGTTTTTTTCATTCTTTTTGCTGATTGGTCTAGCATAGTAGTATTGAGAGATTCTCTTCAAGCTCACTAATTTGGGCTTCCATTGCTTTGCAATCACGCCCTTTGAAAGTATTGTCCATTTCTGAGAGCTCAGTATTGATCTTCTGGACTTCTAATGGCAGGTTTTGTATTATTTCAAGATTTGCATTTATTTGTCTTTTTGTTCTTGTCATGTTTTCCTGAATTTGTCTAAAGTTTTTATTGCTCGCCTTGTGCTTTCCTCAATCTTTCTGTCAATCTTTTGAAGGTATGTAATTACCATCCTTTTGAATTATTCTTCAGTTAGAACCTTTTCTTCCTCAGAAATGTCTTCTGGTTCTACATCATGGTCATTTATTTGAGCCATTCTCTCTTATTTCATCTTGTGAGCTAAAATTGCCTGTTGTCTCTGGGGCATTGTGAAGTTGTCATATTTGTAAAAACTAACAGTGCAGTTGTTGGACCCAGAGGGAAGAAATCTCTGGGAGGCTCCTACAGTTCAAGGAGCTAACGAGATGGTTGTGGAAAGGATGTGACAGCAGCGTTCCTGGCCCTAAATGGAAATGGAATTCCTCTTTGCCTCGGTGTTATCTATGTTCAGGGCACTCAATCCGGAAGTAGTTTGTGGGGGGCTTTGATAGAGTTGGTTTCAGTGTCTGTAGGACCACAGGGCAGCTGGGGCCATTGTGACTGGTTAAATGCTGGTCTGGTGGCTCTGCAAATTTTGTAGGTCTGGAGCTGAGTCCACCTCTAGTCACCAAAATGGCACACCAAAGTGGCGCAGCCAGCCCCCACCTCACACTGTCATGGATGGCTCCCAGCCACACAAAGTTGAACTCCCGGAGAGCAGGGTCTGTGCAGGGCGTGGATGAAGGTGGGAGCTGGCCACACTTCTGGTTACCAGGTGAGCGTAGGAGAAAAAGGAGAAACTGCATCTTTTCTGAGCCCACTTGAATCTGCTCTGCCAGGCCTCCCTCAGCTGCTAAAACGGTTCACAAGATAATCGAGCCTTGTTTGGCCAACCAGTTCACCAGTCTGGCCTCTCTTGCTGCCCCTGCTTGGCCTCTCCTCCCTGCAAGCACTCCTTCCACCGCTCTAACCTTTCTTTTGATGTTCAGGGTGCCAGAATTTTCATGCGTATCTGTTTTTTTTTTAATATTTTATTGTGAATTATATGATAGTTTACATGAGAGAACCTCAGTTCCATATTCATTCCATCGTATATCATTACGTTGCCATGGTTCCAATCCCCTCCATGCATCATCTTCCGACCAAAGGGCATATCCTAGAAGCCCCTCCCCCCTCAGTCTTCAGCCCACAGTTCCTCTCCCTCTCTGGATCCAAAGTCCCCAGCCGCTTCATCCCTCCATGTCATCATCTCTGTCTCCATCTCAGGCATCCCCAGTTCTCTGGGTGGGGTCCCGTTCTCGGCTCTTAGCCGTTGGTGGTCCCAGAGACCTCCGCTCCTAGACTGGAGAAATAATCGCTCTCTTCCTTGCTACAAAACATCTACCCTTGCATTTCCAACACTCACAATCCGTCTTGATAACCATTATTCACTACAGTATCGCATGTAACCCATCTGTATTTCATTTCATCAGCTCCACCTAGACAAATTGGATAGTACTCACTGGTGATTCTGCCTTCCTCCATGCTCCCTAGCTCTAGTTTCCCTCTTGAAAACTTGTAAGCCAGTTACTTCTTGCCTTTGTAGTCCCTCCCTCCCCATTTGGGTATCCAATGTCCAAGTTGCCCCTCTCTGTCTACTCTATGTGTGGAGGGAGTGGGAATATTTCTTGCTGTAAGGATTTGTTGCCTCTTTTGTGTCACTGCATTCATATGCATAGGTCAAGTTCATCAGCTTGGATCAGCTCAGTCTTCTCCACCCCACCCCATCCCCCTTGTTTCTTCTCCTGGTTGACATGCGTATCTGTTTTATTTTGTGTCTTGTAACTTTGTTGTTAAGGAGCTCTGGTAGCATAGTGGTTACGAATCAGGCTGCGAACCTTAAGGTCAGCGGTTCGAAACTACCAGCCGCTCCGCGGGAGAAAGATGAGGCTTTCTACTCCCGTAAAGATTTACACCCTCGGAACCCAACAAAATTTCCACAATATAGATTTGTGTATGAACTCATAAGCTTTATTTTACAGTTCATGAAACAGAAACATCTGGTATGAAAGTCAGAGCAGTGTTCCAAAATGAGGTATGGGAGGGCAAACTTTTTTAACAGCAGACAGTCCTGATTGGCTCGTTTAGGTTCCCTTTTCAGAGGGAGTCAGTGGATTGACTTGGATTTCAGCTCCTGGGAAAGCTAGCATTTACACTGAATAGAAACTTAGATTTTGGTGTCGACTCCATTTTGAACTAGTATAGTGAGCTTATCAGTTGTTGTTTTGTAAAAATTACTTTCTTCCAGTCAGTTTGCCCAACCTATTCAGGTTGTGGTGTTTTGTTGTTTTAGATCCCCAACAACAACAACAACAACAATGCTTTCATTTTCATTTGGAAAGCCTGTAGTGTTGCCTCTGATTCTTACCAAAGGCAGCCTGTCACCCAAGAGATTTAAAATAACATTTAAGTATCATAGAGCATTAAGGTGAAAAACAAGGACATGTCCTTCCTCCTGGTAGATACTGGCTTGGTGAAAACAGGCCAAATTCTGTTTCTGTTGGTTGGTACAAAAGAATAGGACTTGGAGGGTTTTTACTGCATTTGAGGGTTTTATAGGTAAATTCTCTTCTCCCTCTCTTTTTTCTCTAGTTTTCATACCTTGGCCCTGACCCTGTCCATAAGCTCCTCACACTAGTAGTAGATGATGGCATCCAACCTCCTGTGGAGCTCAGCTGTAAGGAGAGGAATATTCTAGCAGCCACTTTTATCCGCTCCCTTCATAAGAACATAGGTAAGGCTGCGTGGGGATTATGATATGGAAGGCAGCAATCCCAGCTACCCTGGGTGCGTGAGTGTAGAGGTGGAACCCACTGGTGTCTATAAGACTGTAATCATGATGGTTTTTGCTGCTCCACAGGAGGCTCTGAGACCTTTCAGGACAAGGTGAACTTTTTCCAGAGAGAGCTTCGACAGACACATACGAAAAGACCACATTCCAAAGTCACCCTGAAGGTCAGCAGACACACCTTGTTGGAATCGGTGGGTAAAGTTCATCTTTGTCAGTAGTTATTCCAAGTTTCCTAAGTAAGAACCAGATTTCCCTCTTTAAGTAGATCTGTATTTGTTTGATTCTGTGAAGTCAGGGGCAGTTTTGTTGGAGGTATATTACTGAGGTGAAAGACCACTTGACACAATGCCATTCATTGGTGGTGGCTGTGTGCAGTGGAGTCGGTTCCGACTCATAGTGACCCTTGTACAGGGTTTCCAAGGCTGTAAATCTTTACGGGAGCAGAAAGCCTCATCTTCCGCTGAACAGCTGGTAGTTTCGAACTGCCGACCTGGCGATTCGCAGCCTGATTCGTAACCACTGCACTACCAGAATTCCATGCCATTTAGTATCTGCACAAAATTCTAGTTCCTGAGAAATTTCATGGAACTCCTTCTATGTAGGTCAGGTGTAAATAGCTGTTATAAAAGAAAGTCTTTGTCATTGAATCCTGAACTAGGAGAGCGTTGGTTAAGTTAAAAGGAAATGATTTTCATTGTCAATCTGGTCTGATGGAAGAGGAACACCTGATATGTGTCTGTATCCAGCAAATACACTCTGGCACAGATCACGTGCTCCCTGAGACTGAGAGGGCGTAGGTTTCTGATCCTTGTCCAGAACGGACTTGTGATGTGTGGCTCTGGTAGGTGTGCCTGGAGATCCCTTTTCTCAACCACCTTCTCAGTGTGGCATGGCTCCCCATCTGAACTTAACTGCAATGTCCAGTGGACAGACTGTACTTTACTGAAAACCACGGCTTCTGATTCTCTTGATGATTGTTCATTGACTTGAGCAATTTTTACCTCTTTCTGCAAGAGTTTTCTCATTACTAAAGTGGAGATTGTATACAGTTTCAGATTCCAAAAAAAACCAACTTTCAACTTCAAAGCGATGGTATAAAGATGAAATGATTTTGCTTAAAACCTATTTCTTCTGGAGATAAGGGCATTATATAAATCTAAAATGGCATGTGTATTACTCAGACTTATTTCTGACTAACATATTCTGCCCGAATACTAATGGCTAGGTAATTGGACAACAGCAATGCTTTTGTGTTTTTGTCTTTAACACCCAAGGGAGGCCAGCCAGTGTTCTGACAGTTTCATTCCTTTCACTGCTTTCCAGTCTCTGAAAGCCACTCGGAATTTCTCCATCTCAGATTGGAGCAAGAATTTTGAAGTGGTTTTCCAAGATGAAGAAGGTCAGTTTTGAAACTTCATGTTCATCTTTTTAAACTAACTTTCCTTTCCACTTTCACCCTCTCTCTTACTCATCCTCCCTTCAAAACAAAATAGAAAACGACCCTCTTTTCCAAGGGAAAAAGAAACCATGAGTCAACAAGGTGGCGTTTACCAGCCAGATTGATTGATGTACAGGGACTTAAACCAAAATAATGAAGTGACCTGTGTAGACCCAAGAAGGATCCATTTCCTGTATCTCTAGTCACCCATGTTTCTACATCGGGTTGGGAGGGAATAGAGTTCAGTCATCAGAATACTTTTAATTCTACAGAAAAGGGTGGGACTTTAAAAAAGTTACATTTTAACCCCCATACCTGTTGCCCTGTGCAATTTTTGAGTCTTGAACAGAAACTATCCCCAACTAAACAACAGCAGAATTAGTAAAGAATGTTCGCCTTGAGCACTGTACTATTTTAAAGAATTTCTTGTCTCAGATCAAACTGACAACAGTAACTCTAAAGCACAGATGAATTGTTTATGAGGCAATGAGCCCAAGTTAATGGGAGTAAAACAGTCTGGGGAAAGTTAGCAAGAGAACTGATACAGCGTGAAGAATGTTACCAGTGTCACTGAGCTGTTGTACCCATAGAAATTGTTGAATGGTTATGTGATCTGCTGTGTGTGGTGGTGGTGATGTGTAGTGGTGGTGGTTATGTGCTGTGGAGTAGGTTCCAACACATAGTGACCCTGTATAGGGTTTTCAAGGCTGTAAATCTTCACGGCAGCAGAAAGCTTCATCTGGGACAGCTGGTAGTTTTGAATTGTTGATCTTGAGGTTTAGCAGCTCGACTCATAACCACCACGCTACCAGAGCTTCTTCTGCCGTGTATAGGTTCACCAAAAATAAAATAGATGTGAAAAAAGAAAGTCCACACTGTAGTTGATTTGAGTTGAGGAAACAATGAGGTGGTTCAGAATGGAGGGAATGTGAAGAGTAAAATGATGAATAAAAGAACAAGAATGATCAGAGGAGGTGGGCCAGAATCAGTTTCTATTTTTATTAACTTCTCAGCTCTGGACTGGGGAGGGCCTCGCCGAGAATGGTTTGAGCTGATCTGCAAGGCACTATTTGACACCACCAATCAGCTGTTCACTCGATTCAGTGACAACAACCAAGCATTAGTAAGTCCATGACTTCCCTACAGGTGGGTGGAAAACCAGGATTATGTTATAATGGATAGAATCACAAGGCTTAAGTTATGATACTGTCCTGGGCAAACCTGTGTCCTGTTCTTAATTTTGTTACATAGAATGTGACCTTAATAGGGCTGCCTTCCTTCTCTTTGCTTTTATCACCTGTAAGGTTAGAGAAAATAGAGACAGATTAATATTATCTGGCTGAAAAACGTTATAATGCAAAGGATATTACTATATTAATTATTATGGTAATATTTATGCCACTATCTCAAAACATTAGTAGATCTTTGACTAGGTAGAGGTGAGGTGTTCGGAAAGTAGACTTTGTTAGGAGTAGAGAAGTAGGATTTGGCTGACAGAAGCTCTGGGTTAGAGAAAAGGCATTGGCTCATCCATTGGGTAGCATTTATAGTCAGGAACCACATAAAAGTGTTCGGATCTAAAAACTTAATATGAGATCTACAACTTAATATAAGTTCATATTTGCCTTTTTTTCTGAAGTCATTTTGTGGCTACCAAAAGGCTAATGCCACTTGGATGGATTCTTTGATTCTCACACTGAAGTTCTTACTTCCTTAGAATGGGACTAGGGAAGAAGGATCTCTCCAGGATTAGGCCTGAAGTAAAATGGCCCAGGGTCTTACAGTTTCTCTCATTACAGGTACATCCCAACCCCAATCGTCCTGCTCATCTGCGATTGAAGATGTATGAGTTTGCAGGGCGACTGGTGGGCAAATGCCTCTATGAGTCCTCTCTAGGGGGAGCCTATAAGCAGTTGGTCCGAGCTCGCTTCACCCGATCTTTCCTGGCCCAAATCATAGGACTGCGTATGCATTACAAGGTAATTAGGTGTGTGTTTTCTGTGAAGGCCTTTGGTTATTAGCACTGCACTTGAGCTTCTTATTTTAAGGTTGAAGAAGTAAGTAAATAGTTCTAAGCAGTTACAAATTTCACCTGGACAAGACTATTTTTGTTCTGTATCTTTTTATCTCCTCAGTACTTTGAAACAGATGACCCAGAATTCTACAAATCTAAAGTTTGTTTTATCCTTAATAATGACATGAGTGAGATGGAGCTGGTCTTTGCCGAGGAGAAATACAACAAATCCGGTCAGTTGGATAAGGTGAGGACCAGTGTTTGTGGTGTCTTTAAGACAGCTCTAATAGGACTTCAGTGCAATGCTGGAAATGTTTATCAAGCACCTGAAATGTGGCTAGTGTGGCAAAGCAACTAAATTTTTTTTTTTTTAAATTTTCTGTATTTCAAATAACTGTATTTGGCTAGCGGCTACCATTTGGACAGTGTAACTCTAGGGCTTGGCATTGCACACTATGATCTTGGCCCCTTTGATTGGCACATATGACACAGGTGCGCATCCTACCTACCCGTTCCTGCTTTGCTGCAGGGAAAGAACTTACTGATTCCAGTCAAATGTACAAGCAGATATGGAAGGAGTGGCAGTGAAAAGATGTTCATGACCGCTTGTTTAACAGTGTCCCTATGTCTTGTTAGAAAATGGTTGACCAAAAGTATTTCCATTGCAAATGTGATTCTGTTTACATTTTTGGGTTCAAAACATCAAATTAGAATAATGATGCTAAAGTGATAGTAGATAATTAAAAATAAAATAGCAATGATTGTAAAATTGTGACCAGCCCCAAGCACCCCTGATAGTGCTGCACTGATGAGTCGGACCTCATTCCTGAAGGTGGTGGTGACCTCGCTCTCTGCCTGTGCACGCATGTGGCAAGAGTCTATCTCTGTGGTCCAGCCAGGCCGGGAAAGTCAAAACGGGGACTTCATGGAGAGGAGTTTTTTATTTATGAATACCAAATTGTCGCTTAGACTGCTAGATTAAAATGAAAACTTACATGAATTTTCAGATATGTGTAAAATAAAAGAAGAAAACTAGGATTGTACATTTTTTGATTTGTTGAGAAGCCCTGCTCTGTAGTAAATAGAGAGCTATCTCCACCTGCTGTCTGATGGACCTTAAAATCAGAGCTTATAACCAAATAGATGCTTCTACTCACCTGTGGCCACTGTACACATTTCGTCTTTGAATGATAGTTTAAAATTATGCTTTAGAAGTACTTCAGAGTCACATAGGAGTTGTTTATTGTGGGGTGCCAATGAAAATCTGTATGAGAATCATACACTACAACTTTTTCTTTACACACAGAAAAATTGAGAGTCCAAATGGCTAAGTGACACAGGCCTGTCTTTGTTAGCATCAGACCTGGAATAGAATCCCATGTTTCTGAGTTTTAAGCCAGGACTCTTCTCACTGACTTACAACAGAAATAGAAGAACGTGAGAGGGGCTGTGTGCTGATGACCGAGGGGCAGGCTGGTGGGGTGTACCCTTTGGTTGGTTGATGATACATGGAGGGGATTGTAATCATGGCACTGAAAGTATATATGATAGGATGAATGTAAAGCTAATGTTCTCCCATGTAAATTATCACATAATTCACAATAAAAACTTTGGGAAAAAAAAGAATGTTAGGAAACAACTATTCTCATTTTACCATTTCTGAGACATAAAAAGACTTTTCAACTAATTGCTTGGCTTCACTCACAATTGGCTGAAGAGTTTAAGAGATGAGTTTTAGTAGTGGCTTAATTTTGGATCATAGAGAGATTACATTTCATTATCTTTTTGTTGCATCACCTCTACTTGGCCAGATACTCACTTGAGAAATAGTACCTGGTAGAATATACCAAGAGTGGTAGAACTCTAGAAGCTTAGTAACTAAATAAAACTAAGTGTGTTGAGAAGCTGAATGAACAGCAGATACTTGTGGCTGACATTGTGATGAACTTCAATAATGCTGTATTTGTGGAACATGTTGGGCAGATACCACCTTGAAAGCTCTCATCCATAGCCTCCTCTTCTTTGTCTTTTGTCTCCTACTTCAGGTTGTAGAACTCATGACTGGTGGAGCTCAAATTCCAGTCACCAATACAAATAAAATCTTCTATTTAAACTTACTGGCCCAATATCGGCTGGCCAGTCAAGTGAAAGAGGAGGTAGAACATTTTCTCAAAGGTGGGAGTCTGTCTACTCTTGCCTTTAATATTAAAAGACTTGTATTCATGATGTGGATATGGTTTCAACCTGGCTACTGTGTTTTAGGCCTGAATGAGTTGGTCCCTGAAAACCTTTTGGCTATTTTTGATGAGAATGAGCTTGAGGTAAGTTCTTACAGCTCTTGTTCTTGACTCAGAGGTTTCATGTATGCCCACAAGGAACTAGCTTTTTGTATCTTCTGTTGTAAGATGTGGTGGGAAAGCCCTTTATAAAGCAAAAGTTGGTTTCAGTTTTGTCACTTTCCTTTTCATTGACCCTTTCTTCAGCTTTTAAAAATGAGACTAAAAATTTAAGACCAACACATGACTGTTAATGAATAGCTCATTCATAATATGATTTCATAAAATGAATTGATGGCGGTGGTGGTGGTGATTATGTGCCGTGGAGTCAGTTCCGACTCATAGCAACCCTGCATAGGGTTTCTGAGGCTGTAAATCCTTATGCGAATAGAAAGCCTTATCTTCCTCCCATGGAACAGTTAGTTTTGAACTGCTGACCTTGAGGTTAGCAGCCCGACTCGTAATCACTATGCTTTCACAGCTCCTTTTAAAATGAATCATATAATAGTAATTATTGTTTATAAAAACTAATGGGAATATAATTTATTCATTAAATATTATTGATACCGGTGGAATAGTAAAGAATTTTAGAATCATGGACAGCCTTCCTAAAATCCTGGTGACACTTAAGGGAATGATAGTGCTTACTTGTTCAGGAAATATTTTCTGGGTGCCTCCTGTACGCCATGTATGTTTAAGGCACTGGGGACAGAGCAGTGACCAAGACAGAGTACCTGTCCTCATTGAGCTACATTCTAATGGTGGAAAGAACCCAAAAGATGTGATCAAGTTGGAACATTTTGAATCACAACATTGTATAGTTAATGTTTCCTTACAGATCTTGAAAGAAACAAAACAACAACAGAAAAATGGCAAATATCACTCTATGGTTAGCAGAATTGATGTCTGTATCGTGTGGGCAAATAAGAAAATCAGTGTCTTTCCTTGCTGCTCATAGTTGATACATACAATATAAATGATTAGTTTTAACTTCCCACAGCCTTTGTGAGGAGTGAGTTTTATACTTACCTGTGGGGAGGTAGTTCTTTCAAAAAAGAAATAAAGAAAAAAATTCCTTATGGCCTTACACATTTTTTATTCTTATTTACAAAACTGGCTCAGAGATCAGAATCAAAGTCTTAGGCAATTTTCATCACATGTTGTACCTTCTGATATGAAATCCAAACTCTCCAGACCTCAGCCTTTGTAAAGTTTCTCAGATAACGTCATCTAGTGCTGGTACTTTGGGAATTGAGGAATAGCTACTCTGGTGTATGTTGCTTGCCATGCAGAAAAGCATTTGTGACAGTTTTTTTTTTTTAAGTGAGTAGAAAAGGACACAGTGTCTTAGAGTTGGTCTGTGACTTGCTCTTACTCATGAGCTTATTATATTAGCAAGTTCTTTTTAAAGTACTTGAAGCTCCTCAGGCTTGATTTGAGTTTTTCTTGTCTTTCATTAAGCTGTATCATTCTTTATAGCTATTGAGTGAGTACTTTGAGTCTGTGCTAAGTAGCATGCTGGATCCTGAACCAAATTTGGACATCAGCAAGATGCTAGAGCTCTGATGTCATTAATGTTTTCATTTGGGGGATCAAGTAGAGGCAGGACTGAAGGAAAGATGGTAAATGTTCAGTCCAGAAAAGAAGGACGGGTCTAGGGAAAAAGGAAAGGCCATATGGAAAATTCCTCAGTGGGGCTGAGAGTCTTCATCAGTGGGAAAGGGCCTGCCTGTTCTCCCTGATGTGCTCAGGCTTAGTCCAGACAGACTAACAGGAAATACTTGGTTTCTTTTTGTCCTTTGTTTCAATTATATATATTTTTTTCAATTACAAATAATCCACAGTTGCAATTCTTAAACTGGGATGCTTATCAGAAATATCTGGGAAGTTTTTTCAAAATATCCACACTCGTACTTCACTTCTAGAGATTTGGATTCAGCAAGTCTGGGTAGGGTCTGCCCACCTGAATAGTTTTCAAAAGTTAGGTGAGTTTCCTCCCCAAAATGGGTAGGGACCATTGGCTGATAATATTGAATTTTCTTTAAAGCTTTATTTTGGAATTAGCACTGCACCTTGTATCTTTTCCTGACCTATAATAGCTTGTCCCACAGTTTGCATGTTAACGTAGGTAGTGTTGACCTATATTGGGTCTTTGTGCCTCTGACTGTCCTGGTGACACCTGACTGCCTTTCTCCAGCTGCTGATGTGTGGGACTGGAGACATCAGTGTGTCTGACTTCAAAGCCCATGCCGTGGTGGTTGGTGGTTCATGGCATTTCAGAGAGAAGGTAAGTGAGCCAACTTCTTCCAGTTGGCGATGACCATGTTATCAAGCAGAAGTTTCTGAAGGAAAACACAGCGGCATCAGAGATGTTGACTGGAAAAAAATGACACAAAGACAGGAGGTTGTGCAGGCAGAATGTGTCCTGGTCTGTTGGGGCTGCCATGCTGACTGCACAGAAGTAGAACCAAGCAATTACAGCTACCTTTCTGACCGGACAATGATCTAAAGTCCTGAATAGGTTGTCAACTCAAAGCATTCCTCCCAGTATTCTCAAAGCTGCCACTGGAGCATATCATCACTCAGGTCTTGGATCCTAGGCTGCATACTGTATTTGTTCTCAGCCTTGTACCCTCCCTGCCAGGTCATGAGGTGGTTTTGGACCGTGGTTTCCAGTTTGACTCAGGAGGAGTTAGCTCGGCTGCTTCAGTTCACAACAGGTTCCTCTCAGCTACCACCTGGAGGCTTTGCTGCCCTCTGTCCCTCATTCCAGATTATTGCTGCGCCAACCCACAGCACGCTACCCACTGCACACACGTGGTAGGTAGCTGACCACTTGATGCATGCTCTTGAGGATTCTTTTTCCAGCCCTTGCAAGTGTTCTGGCAGTATGAGTTAATGACTTCTCTCCTTGCCCTTCCAGTTTTAACCAGCTGTGCCTCCCTACGTATGACTCCTATGAAGAGGTGCACAGGATGCTGCAGCTGGCCATCAGCGAGGGCTGTGAGGGCTTTGGCATGCTGTGAGCGCTCTCCTGACATCCAGTCAGCTCCTGTACTTACTGGAGTATGTGAGTGCATGTTTCAGACACCATAACCTCCCACCCTAACACATAGCCATCAGCCAGAACATGCTGCATGGTCCCCTGTGTCTGGAGTGTTTTGTCATCTTCGAGCCTTGTCCTCACCTCCCTCCCTTCCTGTCCATATCCACCACAGGCCACTTGGGTATGGTACGTAATCTGGGCTGTCTTGCTTATTCCTGAGAAGAGGGCCATGCTGCTGTAATGTCACTTGGTTCTCTTAGGACCTCAGTTGCGGAGGAAGATTGCACGTGGGACCAGCTCGGATGGAAATCTGGTGTGCAGAAAGCCTCAGTCCACACTTGCTCCAGCTCTCTGCTGATGCTCCTCAGAGGCCCAACCTTGTTGGGACCTCACTGCTAACCTCACTGCTACACAGGTCCTTCTCAGGGGAGAGACTGTGGGCCTCTTCTCATTAGGAGCCAGGAGACGCCAGAGGAAGCGGCTCACCTGAGCAATCTTTAGTTTTGGCCTTTTGTGTAGTGACAGACGGGGGTTGCCTATCTCTAATGAGGACCAGTAGGATCAAAAGGATCTTTTAAATTGTGGTCTCAGAACTGGAAAAGGAGCTTTCCCTGCAGGCATTTTTGGAAATGATCAGTTATCCATCAAGAAGAACTCTCTTAAGCTTTTTCTTAAATTTGAACCAGGTGAGAAAAGCAGACAGAAGACCTAAGAATGTGAGTGGGAGCTGGGCTGTAGCCTCCCTTGCTGAACATGATCCTACTTTAGGGCTATGGGGCATGACTAGGCACATAGCTGGCTTGAAGACTACTGATTCTTTACACTGAGGTGTGGCTGGGCCTGGCCATTTACCTCCATATTACACTGTCTGCTAAAAGCTGGGGTTCTTCTCTGACATGACTTCAGAGGGTCCCACTAGGTCTTGCTTCTAGGTGTCTACTGAGGAAAATTGTGTAGCAGAGGATTGGAACAATAGGACTAGATGCCAGTGATCCCTAATTCTCTTTGCTTGGTGTTCTCTGGCAGCACTGAGGCAAAGCAAAAGGGACCAGGTGTCCTTTTAAGTGCTTGTCAGGACACTGGGAACGTAGAGGAACTCTGTCACACTGTAAACACCCAGCTGCCACTGTGACTTCACTCCCTCAGGTCCCTGGAAGGAGAACTAAAGAGGGAGGAAGGCTCGAGGTAGAGTAAAGATAGAAGAGAACTTGTCACCATCTATTGGAAGATGACACACCCTTCTCATTACAACTTGGATGAATATATTTTCAAGACTCAAAATCTCATTGACTCCCCAAATTTCTGATTTGAAGAAGAAGGCTTTGCTGTAAGCTACCACATTCCCAGTGGATCACTCAACTCTGATAATATTACAAGCCATCTTTATTGCCAAAACTCAGCAAGTACACAGAATCCTGAGATGAGGCAGGACTCGGGGTAATGCCTTGGCCTGCTGGAAGCATGTCTGAGCCCTTGCACCCCCTTAGGATGGGCAGAGGTCCCAAGGAGCAAGCCCTTCTGAGCTGCTGCAGTTCCTGCCTGACAACAGCACGCCTTTTGCAGTCACTGTCCTTTCCTGGCGTGGGTGCTGACTTCCCTCATCTTTGGGGTCCAGGATCAGGGCCTTTTCACCCCAGGATCCTCCATGCCACGCGGTCACTGCTTTCCTCAGGGACCAGGACAAGGTGCTGCTGCTTGCCCCAGTTTTTTCCTATGGGATATGTGCAGGCAAGTTTAGTCATCACTAACACATGACGCTGCCCCTCACGCCCACATAGTAGTTTCCAGGTTAGCAGTTGTTCCACTTCTGGATTCTGCATTCACCTCTCCGGCGGCCTTCTAGAGACTGAAGCCGGAATCAAGTTGACGTCCTTGGCTAGATCTGCCTTTTTCAGAGAATCCTGGTCACCATTGCATCCCAACCAGGGCAGCGTCATCCCTGTGGTGGTCCTTAGGTACCAAATCTTTAGTCTTTAACAAAATCTTTTTGGTATGTTGTGATTTTCTATTTTTCCAATTTATTCTCTTTCTCCTAACTGTTCAAAAGGATCTTTGCTCTTTTTGACTTGTTTTATCATTTTTTCTGATCCTGCTTCAGTACTAGCCAGTGCGAGGAACGGTGTAATATGTCAGAGAGAAGGGAGGCTGTCTTATTTCTTGAGCAGTTTTCTATTCACATTTCTTATTTTGGTCAGTTCTCTTATTTATTCCCAGAGGCCCAGATGCTTAGGGGCCAGCTAACCTCCTGACCTTTTTAACTTCTCTGAAGGCACCAAGTGAACACCAAGCAGAGTGTCAACATGCTGTAGAACCTTTGGTAGAGACCAAGCCCTGCTGCATATGTATCAGGCCAGATAGTTGCAGGTGATGGTGTAAATATTTTGTACAGTAAATAAATAAATGTTTGAAAGAAGAACTAAAGAGCAAATGACTGCTATAAATGGGGATTCAGGGCTTTTGGAGGTTGGGGAAGGAAAAGGTTTAGAAATCATTTCATATTTCTTCAGTCACCCCTTGGGAAGTGTTTGGCTCAGTTGAAGATGGGAGCCCGGCTTATCCCAGGCCTTCTTGCCCTTTTACCTCTCCCATGCTTCTCCTTCTCACCCATGGCCATCAGAGTGGGACAAATGCTCCTGAAGAAGACACCAGATGTTAAGAGCAGAGGGTCTCCTCAATCTTTTAAACATTCATTTTTAACTACATTAGAAATTCAGTATAGAACATTTAGAAAGAAAAAATATATATATACATGGGAATAAGTCATTTGCCACCAAAAACCACTGTTATCATTTTGATGCATACCCTTAGTGATTTCCATCTAATCACATGTGTTTCCAACATTCTCCCATCCCCACATGATGTGGCACTGTAGGATAAACACTAGACTGCAAGGCTGTTTGAACCTCAATGTTGGCGGTTCAAACTCACTAGCCATTTCTCAGAAACCCTATACAGGGTGGCTATGAGTTGGAACCAACTTGATGACACTTACCAACAACAACACTGCTCCTGAAAACTGGGGGTGGAGAGGTGCAGGCAAGTGATGCCAGATGCCAACCAAAGGTGAGTTTGGCAGAGAGAAAATTAGACTTCAGTTGGGAACTACAAAGCAAAACTTGGGGAGCCTGTCTTTCTTGGGGATGCAATCATGGTGTCTTTTAAATACATTGCTTCCTGATCTGGAAGACCAAGATTCCCAGGGGTTTTTTGTTTTGTTTTTAAGTACAGATTCTTAAGGAGCCCTTAAGTAGTGTTGTGAGTTACGAATTGAGCTGCTGACTGCAGAGTCACCAGTTCAAATCTACTAAACACTCCGTGGGAGAAAGATGAGGCTTTCTGCTTTAAAGACTTAACAGCCTTGGAGCTATGCAGGGTCAGAACCAACTCCACACACACAACCATCACCATCACCACAGAGTCCTGGGTCCCATGTCAGAGTGAGAGAATCGGAATCTTAGCTTGGAAACTACCCTTTGAGAGTGTATACATTGTATTCTCACCTCACCAAGCACCTGAATGGGATGAACTGTCGAGAAAAATAAACTTCTATTCAGTTTTAGTTACTTAGAGTTCTAACATTTTTTATAGTGGATTACAAGCTGGACTGCTAACCACAAGGTCAGTAGTTCGAATCTACCAGTCGCTGTGTGGGAGAAAGATGAGGTTTTCTACTCTTGTAAAGAATTTACAACCTTGGAAACCCTATGCAGGGCCACTGTGAGTTGGAGCCTACTCCACACACATCACCACCACGACCGTCATTGACCCATGGGACTAGAACAGATCCTAATGCTGAACCTGATTTATTTATTATTTAAAGACAAGTCACCGTTTTTATGCAGATTTGTTTCCTGTTACTCTAAATTGGATACTCCATTGCTGTTGCCCCCTGGTCAGTTTTTGAGGGCTGGGCTGGCATGATTGTGGTTCTCTTTGGTAATCAGTGGGAGGTTCTTGAGTATCACATAAAGGTAGTATTGAAAATGACTCAGCATTAAATGATATCAAACACCGTGGAACAGAGCAACATTTCTAACTCAAGAGTCCTGAATATGGACCATTTAGCAGATAGCCATCCCAGAGTTATTTGGGAGCTCAGGCCCTTTTTTTGGGAAGTGGTGGTGATTGAGGAGGGGATTTAGAGGTCTGCAGGGGTGTTGTGAACTTGGTTTGTTTATGATAGAGTGGTGCTGCCTAGACTTAGGCTATACCTTGCTATTGAAGGTTTTCCCCCTCAACATTAAGTTCTCTCATTTTGCTTATGTAAAACACTTCGTGGTCGTCACAGAAGGGCCCTGGGTTCTCTATAGTAAATTTGGATATAACAACTTTGTAAGATGGTCAGTGAGTAAGGCTCACAGTCTCTTTCCAGAAACCAGGGGAAGAATGTTGTGAAGTGCATTGAGTTGGTTCTGTCTTAGCGACTCTGTATAGGGTTTCTGAGGTGAGGCTGGTGACCTTGCAGTTCATTTTGACTTGTTGGTCCAGTGCTTATCCTGCAGCACCACACCAGGACTGTATGTTTTTAATATGGAATCAGGAAGGATAGCTGTATGTTTTTTATGTGGAATCAGGTGGCTTTGGTAAAGTCCAAATTGTCAGAATCATCCTCGTTTGTCAATACCTGTCAGCAGTGATAGCTTTTGGAACATGGGTGGTGACAGGTTTGGTCCCTTGAGGGATCAACTAATAGCACAGAACCATAACATCAAGTATTGCGAGACCAATGGGCTTCCCATCTGGCTCCCCTTTCACAGACTTGCCCTCGGGGAGATGATGGCTAACTTATCCAGAGCAATTGCTCTGGGTGGCTGTTGCTACTACTTCTGTGGTACAGCCAATAATCATTGTAACATGTCCTTCTTAGTCTTTAGAGTCATGAATGCCCAAGTTCAACTGGCAACTCAGACAAGTTTTTGAGTGGGCAAGGTCCTAGGGCTTCAATCTATACTATTATAAGAGCTAGGAGGCTTAAGTGGATTTCTTCTAGAAACCTCATTGTGCCCTTGACCAAGCTGACTGTGCCTGATGTCAGGATCCCACTTGTAATCCTCAGTTTCTGATCCCAGAGTCCATGAGTCTCCAGTACCCTCTGCATCACAGCCATCTCCTGCTCTTTGGTGTTTTATCGAAGAAGATGCCCTTGGACAAGACACTTCTGCATCCAGTGCAGCATAGGAGTTTCAAAGGTTAGAGAGAAAGCCATGATTGATGTACTTGGATATTTATATTTTTACCTCCTATGGGAAGAAGTACGGAGTTCTGGTGTGGCGCT